TCGTGTGGGGAGAACCATTAGAATTTCTGAAGAATATCCGCATGTGAGCACTCTCGAGCACTCCATTCACTGGTTCAGGTTGCTAATGCAGCCCGCCGCTGAACCCCCAAACCTGACGCCATAGAATTGCCACATGTGCCAAACGCCTCAGATTTGTCTCCAAAGTGTCAAAAGGACGGAGCATTGGTGTGAATCACAACAATTAAGCCAGAAGAAAAAGAAGACCACAAAGTCAACCACTGCATTTTCCCTTTGCCGAGACTTATCAGGCGCAGCCCCCTGCTTGGGTCAAAGTTATTGGCATGAGAACCTGATAAAGTCACACAAATCAGTAGTGCCAACGGCGCTCTATGCAAGGAGGCCTTGGGCCCAAACAGTTTTGGGGCAAATAGAGGCGCAACATCCTTTGCAACAGCTACAGAATTGCCATTCCATCAGGTGGAAAAGGTGTGAATTCAGTAAAATGTTACAAGCTGGCATTTGCTGAAGTGGATCCAAGCAGGCATCGTTTTGCCCAAGCTTTAATACTCGATTTGGTTGCGTGCCTGGGCCATCGATACGTTTGGTGAAGGTTGATGGTCCTGAGTTGGTTGTTCAGTACATCAAGTCAGTCTCAGTATCCCAACGATTTACGCTAAAATCATTTGCCGGATTGCCAGTCTGCAAAAGCTCCAAGGCTGGAGATGCTACGCTTGCATATGAAGCAGGCGTTCCAGGCGATGCTCTGTGGCAACTATGGGCACACATGAAAGCCATGAATGCCATGATCAGGTGGCTTTCCGGAGGTCAGCGCCATGACCTCCATGCCACCTCCAGCGTTGCCACAGCCTTGTGGAGCCCTTTTTGATAAGACCATGGATGTGTCTGCTAGCTGCTGAACCAGGCCACGCCCTGTAGCTTGTGAGCCAGAGGCCTGCTCGCCTGAGCCAGGACCAGACCGTTCAGCAAAGCCGTTTGTCCCCCTTCAGGCCCCTACGCTGGCATATGGGGACACGCTTGTACGGGCCCAAAGCAAGAGACCGTTTTCAGAAAAGCTGACGTAAATCCGCAGCTTCTGCAGGTGTTACAACCCGAGGACGCAGATCAGGCTTCGCATGTTCACTCGGGTGGCGCCTCCGTACGATCACTGTTCGGAGGTGTTTCAAGAAGCTGAAGTGCCTAACTTAGCTAGCGCGGAGCATGCATCTGGAGCTGCCAAGCCTCCTGTGCCTGCGACGGGAGCGACCGCAAGTACAGCGACCCGGTCTGGTCTCAGACTGCGGCTGTGGCGGAAGCAGGCTCCACCGAGAGGAGGGATGCATTGATGTACACATGAGATTGTACTTCTTATTGTGTTTGCAATGTTTGATTCGCCATGATTCATCAGTTGATCTTGGTCGCACAAGCAGGATACGTGCCACCGACACCGAAGGCCTCTAACGTTGACAGCCTGTGGATAGAAGGATTTTGGCCACTGTACTGGAAATCAGCAGAGGGGGTTGTCAAGGTTAAGCATCCGCCCGCCAGGCACGTGCATCTGCGCCTGCGAAGCCTGCGAAGAGGCATCGTGCCAGCATTACGTTCTTGTTTCGGGTTAGTCTTATCACCGGAGCACAGTCGCATAGTACTGCAATTTACACCGAGACCTGCCCAAGCTGCTGGTCCGGTGGGCTGCAGAGCTGGATCCTGAGCCTGACCCAGCACCCAACCTTGTGATGGCTGGCGGAGCTTGTCGCCGAGGTCACGGTAGCTGGCGACGGCTGGGGTGGTGGAATCGGAGGGTCAGCACTACCATCATGTTTTTCGACTTCGTGTATATAATTGTGCAGAGGTATGAGGCAACAGTCGTGGATGCCGATGACCTCTCCCTGACGGTCATATACCGGGATGAAGACAAGAAGTGGAAGGACGCGAACGTGGACTTGCTTTATTTGAAGTTGTGCATCTGCCAGCTGGAAGGAAACCCACGTTCTCCGTCAACATTGTGAATTCCTCACCGAACCTGAGATTGAGGCCAGGTGTCTTCCCTTACCGCCTTTTCTTTGAACCCACCCTCCCTTCCCTAGGCGGATGTTAGGATATAATACCGTCTTACGGGACGGGATAGTGTTATATTATATCCTAAGGAAGGGAGGCACGGATTCGCTGTTGTGGTACTGACCAGATGAATTGCCAAACATCTGGAAAAGTGCGCGAGGGTTGGGAGGAGGGATTGCATATTCGGTGTTTGTTACTTATGAATCGTAGCTCTTTGTGGTGGGACTCTGTGCACTGCTTGTGGTGGTTGTTGGCCATCTTGGCAGGTTGGAGGCCGCCGGCGAAGAACGATTTGATCACCCTTCGGTTCCTGATCCTGCATCTTCGCCAGTGTGTCCCGAGAATGGTTTGCAATTTGTGCAGGCGGCCACAAGAGCTGCATTCTGCCATCGTGGTTGCGTTGCGCGGGCAATCAAACGGGGCGTTGGCGAATCAGTCCAGTTAGATGAGCAGACATGCTGTGGGGTTGCGTATGCAGCCGGCCTCCAGAAGATCAACATTGATCCAGCTCAGCAAGAAACACGCGGCAAGGTTTCCACTTTGAATGAGTTTTGTTTGTGGATATTGTCGAAGGCGGCTCAGCATTACAATGACTGTACGAGCGGCCAATGGTATAGACTGTGGTGGCATCATGTTGCAAGCTCATGTACAGGTAAGAAGCTGTAATATTCGCAAAACATGAAATCCGCGATGCGACTACCCCCGCATCTTTGCATGAATTACTCTTGATGATCATTGCTCCATCATATTGTTCTGCAATCAGCCATGGGCGCATTGCGGCCGTGGAACCTGTTCGGCAGAACCATGTACATACCCTCGACTGAAGGCAGGAGAGAGTTACCGAGTAGCATTGGTGTTGTGATGTGGTTTTCTCAACTATGGACTGAGCTTGTGCAACAAAAGTTCTATCACGCTTGTAGTGCGGCTGGACGGCGAACAGCATCAATTTTGAGTGAATGGCTTTTGGACGCTCCGCCGAGCTCATGGTTTCAGTCTTTATGATACGTTATGCTGCACTGAAATGCTTGCCAGAAGCCGACTTTCTGGAGAAACTTCCGAAACGGCCGAAAAAGGAAACTACGGGACTAAGCGACGCAGCGGCTGACCGCGTGATGCCGCTTGCGTCTGAGGCAGGACGGAGGCGAAGAAAACGGGCAGCGGTTATGCTTGGAGCCAATGCATGTTTAAGCGCATTCATGGGGCGGTTCCTTGCCCACATGTGGGGTTAACGAATAATGTGTTGAAGGACACTTGCCTTACCGATGTTTGGCAGTTGTATGCAGTTGTCTGCCCATGCAGAGACATGCTCGACAGGCGGCATGTTGAATAGCAACCTTGCCGTTCAGTTGAGCCAAGCACGGGCAAGACAGCAGGCCAGAGGTTTTGGCAAGACTCTTGTGCGGCATTGTAAAGAGATTGTAGAAGGCGCAAGAAGCCAGCCGCTTGAGCTCGCCGTTTCTGCAACACTTAGCATATCTGTTTGGCCCGCTGGTGCCCAAGTCTACAAGTCTACGGAAAAGATATGTTGTAGAGATCCGTTTTGCTGAGGTTTTCAGCGGTCTGGGCTCTTCTCTGGGCAGCAAGGACCGGGACCGGACAATCGTGTCTTCAGAATCGAAGAACCAATCAGAGATTTTTGCTAGGTGGCGCTACAGCGATGCAGAGCGCCTGCGAGAGCTTGAGTCTAAGCCTGGAGGAACCGGGATAGTTTCCAGTCTATCTAGCGGCTATGTGTTGTTGTTGAAGGAGCAATCTTGCTGGACCTTCTTGCATGGAGAGTAACCGCGCACCTGGGTCCGTACCAGGCATAGGCTGTCGTACCACACATGCCATTTGCAAGCGCCTTGTTGGCAGGTGCCTAACTTCTCCAAATCCAAGATGCATGAAGAACCTCTGAGGGTTCTCCAGGAAGTGGATGACAGCAAAGTATTCAAACACCTCCTGCAGCTTCGGCAACGCATCGCTACATCCACCTGAAAGGACCCTCTGCTTCTGGACTATGAACGGATGCGGGCACTTAGCAGGCACATAGTCTGACATAGTCATGTTTCAGGAGGCATGTCATCTGCCCCTTGGTGCAGGCTCGGGCAGCTGTCGCAGAGGACTCCAGCTTCCGCTTCCATCCTGAAAATGGCTCCGCTGCGGAAAAGTCTAGGCACTTGGCGGCGTTGGGTTTTTCACCCCCAGGTGGACAGCCAGGTGTGTATCTCAAACATTCTCAGACAGCTCTAAAAGCCTTTCTGGCAGGTTCGCCCTTGAAAGCGATAGAGCCAATTCTCTTTGAGGCCTTCTACGAGGACTGTACAAGCGGCAAGACCTTTCCGGCTTCAGATGCCACTTCATGCCAAAGGACCCGGCCAGTCAAACACAGACTCCTGGCACCAGCTCTGACACGCATCGGGCTCTTGCGGCCAAGATCATTCTGGATGTGGTAGCCGCCTGTCCATTCGAGGAGTCCTGCTTGTTCGAGCAATTCACGAAGCTGCAATCGCACTCTGCAAGGAGCGGTGCGTTCCCGCTTGGGTTCTCAGTGGCTTGGTGAAGGCCCAAGGCATCCCGTGGCAAGTTGGTCCGCAAGGACCGCTGTGTTCTTCTGAGATGTTTCTGACGATCACGTGCGTAAGCAGGAGAAGAGCTGCGTGCAACGCTCCTGTGCCAACTGCCTGGGGCCCAGCACCAAGCAGTGTCAAAGTCACTCAAAGTCGATGGCAGACACCTCCAGGTTGCGCACTCCATCCAATGCAGCAGCTGCTGGTTCACTGAGAGAGGCTGAAACTCGTCTTTAGACATGCCCTGTGTTTTGCCATGCGTGTCCCTGCCAGGTAAGGGAATATCTGGGTGGCGCAGGCATCAGCATGTTAGCGAGGCAACAAACTTTCCAGAGCGCCTGAACGCAGGCATGAAGAGGAAGGAAGACACGATTTGGCCATTGAAGGCAACGTTTGGATTGAGACCCTGTCGGATCAAGAAGGTACTTGTACCTTGTTCGAGCGCCTTTCAGCAGTGTCTCCAGGCCTACCTGCTCAGTGGCGAGACTCATGATCTGCTTCGCAGGGGAGCCAAACTGGTGACAAAGCAGTGCACTTCAGCGGCAACAATTTTTGTGGTGAGTTCATGTGTGCTCTGCACCCTCGAAAGGCCCGGGTTCAATTGAACTGCAGATGAGGAGGCTGTGTGTTGTGGCGCACCACTTGGCATGTACAGCTACCATTCGCACTCGGCAGGAAGAGAGATACTCCAAGCCTCCAAACAAAGCGAGACCTGCGCAACCTTTGGACTTCCATTTTGCTTACTGCAGGCCGGAACGGTCTATAGTGCCAACGCTGAGTATCCCAACTGGAGTTGCGCAAGCTAGGATGGGCTTCTTTCCGCCACTGGACTGCAGTCTTCACTGCCCAGGCAAAGTTCATGCGACTTGAACACACGTTTTCTTTGAAGGCAGGCAATTTGCTTGAAAATAGGCAGTGCTTCAGCTTGCTGCTGGTGTTGGCGGTGCCATTGCAGGCTCCGTAGTGGCCTGAATTGAACTCGGCTAATGCTAGCGCCCCTGTCAAGAGCCAGGTACACTTGTGCTGGAAGCAGTTTGGAGCGCAGAAGAGCAGGTCATCCAATCAGACTGGTACTGGCAGGCCTTGTGGTCTTGTTTGTGGTTTGAGCGCAAGCTTGGTGGGTGCAGGATGCCTATGGTTCAGTGCCGTCTGCAGCCATGGTGGTGATCAACTGCGTGGCTCTTGCATGGGAGACTGGCTCAGGTTAAATGTTGCTTTATTCCAGCTATCATGCTCGGGGAAACTGCCGAGGCCTCGCGCTTCTCCTGCATCCTTCCGTTTGTTGCGTGCAGACTGTTCAAAGATGACTACCTGGACGCGCATCGGACCTTCCCCTGACAGAAAAAAATGATGGTGGGCAGGGTGGCCGCTGCCAGTAGCCCCGCTTAATCGTGCGGAAGGCAGGCTTTTCTGACAGTCGGCAGGAATTGTCCACAGCGCTGGGTAGGCTCTTCTGAGGTTATGAATGTCCCTGGTCCCAGCTGGGATGTTTGTTGGAAGTCAGTACAGTAAAGAAAGCCCAGGCCTGCCTCTATCAGGGCTTTAAGTAAGGTTGGAGATGTGGACTCCAGTTTGATTCTTGGGCCGTGACCCACCGCGGGAATTGACCTGACACAAGTGTCTCTGACTAACTATTCTACGCGTGTCGCCAGCCAGCTTTTTACATGGAGGTTTGAATCCTTCAGGTTTGAATCCTTCCAGGATTCCAGGGGTAGGGACTCACGTTGTGGCTGGGTGACTTGGGTTGCAAGTTTTGCTGGGATCCGGTGTTAGCCGATTTAGCCGCAAACTTCATGTTGAGTCGCTGGGCGTGTGATTTAGCCACGGGACTGTTGCATCAGCGTTGCATCCGACCTCTGTTGCACACAAGGACATGGCTGGCGTGCATTGGCGGTTCTATAGGCACATTCTTGGTTGGGCTTGGGGACGCGATGATACTCAGGAATTGTTGCTGATGTAAATTTGACGTGCACCTCACGTGGGATCAGGCATCGTGGCATCACGCGAAAGTATGCAAAAGTCAAACTGACATCATCGCGACCGTATTCCTGGATTTTTCTGTTGCGGCGACGATTGCTGCGATTCTGCAATTTCATTCTGGTTCCCTGCGGTGTGTTGCAGTACCAAAGATGGATCAAGAGGCATGGGTTGGGCGTACGGACCTCGCAGAGAACTTAGTACCCATAAAGGTTTGGGCTTGCCGATGCAGTAAGTAGACATTAAGACAAAATCTCGACCATGAGAAATGCCTGCTTCGATCGCGTGAGCAGCCACTTTTCTTTTGCTGGGCCTGGCTCCTGGCTGGATCTCAGTTGATTGTATGTTAAGAAACATCATCTCGAGGTGCAAGCCCATAAGAATCAACAATTCGCTCTCTGCTCAAAAGCGTCACCTGCGATGGCGAAAGAGGCGAAAGCGCTCAAACAAAGCCGGCGAGTCACCGGCAGCACGGCAGCACGGCCACGGAGGAAAACCGGTAAGATGAAAGATGATGAAGCTTGTGCCATTTATCGGCTTCACTGCATGGAAGTTTCGGAGCTTGGAGATTTTGGCTTTTGTCGGTTTTGTCCGGGTCCTTGCCATGACGGACTTCAAGCCGTTCACTGCCTACATCGTTGATGCTTGCAGGACTGTCCAGAAGAGTTTTTGTTGGGGCCTGCCAGCATACCACCCACATCCACCCACGTGAGTAGCTGGGAAAGGACCGCCGGGGGCAAGAGGAATGGACGCCTGTCAGGCTTTCTACGCCGTTCGCTTTACGGACGCTTCACATCCAGAATGTTGTTACTTCGAGTCAGGCTATCATCCTGCAGAGCTTGGTGCAGCTGTTTGTGATGCACTGATCGAGCGAACCAAAGTCAAGGCGGAGGAGGCCGCCGTGCTTCCGGGACAGGGCTTGGCAACCCTTAGTGAGAGTCCACTGCATGAAGGGTAGGTTTCACAAGGTTTGGCGCGTACTGTTGCCCAAAAGGCGAAGCTTTGGATGTTGGAGTTTTCTGGGACCATAGCAGGCTTCTGTCGGCTGGCTGTTCCTTCAGTCAATTTGCAATGCGAGGTGGAAGATGTCATCTTTGGTTGTGTCAGCCAGGTGGGTGCGCAGGCTGGACGGTAACTACTGATGGATATTGATGGTGTGCTCCAAATGAAAGCCCTGTGCTAGTCTGGAAACATCGGCCGGGGTGTTGTTCTTTCTTCCCGGCACCTCCCTGAGAGTGCTGCGGCCTCACTTCTTTTTTTGCCTTCTTATGCAACTTTGGTTTTGCAGCCGTGCCCTGCAGATTCTCTCCAACGCCCAGGTACCTGGCACGGCTGTAGACAGGCAATGCGGTTCCTCACAGCAGGCAAGGTGACCTCATGTGTCTTATGGAGGGATATGGAAGGAGCTACAGTGCAAAGTGTAATGTTGAGATAGACAGGGTTTCCCTGAGCTACTTGTAGTAGCTGTAGTACTGGACGCAGCTCACGTTCGGTTTCCCTTTAATGATGCGAGACCTTGTCTTTTCCATCGTTCAAGAATGGAAAGACTAATGAGTCAGGCAAGCTGCCAGATGTCAAATAGCCAGCAGCTGTCATTTACGATTGAGGTTTGTGCCGATGCGCATTGGTTCATGCTTGGGGCACAGGGCCCGAGCCCGGCTACTGAAAGGAAAGCAGCACTACAAAGCCTCGCAAGTATAATTGTTGCATGCCAAGACAATTGTTTTGCCAAGAGCTCGCAGGAGGCAAAAAAAGGTGGTGATCTCCTCGGGCCATAGCAAGGACTTTGGCTCGCTGGGAAATAAGGAAAGCAGTAACCTCATGATCCTGGTCGTTTGGTCGTTTGGGACGACCTCCGCAACCCGTTTGAGAGGGAAGCTCTCCTTCAACGTTTGGCGCAATGTGGGGAACGGGGCATGAGAGGGCATCATTCATTTTGTCGGGTCGGCTCGTCCATGGCCAGACCTTGCGGAACAGAAGCAGATGGAAGCAGCGAGTAGCCATGAGTAGCCTATGTTCACCCTGTGAGCGGGTTATCGGCTCAGACGGGGTGGATGAAGCTCACCTGAAGCTGCCAATCGTGAAAACCGAACTCCAGTTTAGTCCAAAGCCGTCTCGCTTCCAGGTAGATTCTTGTTGGGAACAAGTATAGCACTGCAGCACAGGAAGGATGTGTTGAAAACAAAAAAAAGTTGGGAAGTGAAGCCCACAACCCAGATCCGGAAAGCACTTTTCTCTCATGTGAAGCATGGCTTTTTCCGGATATAAACCATGGTGCAGGCCATCCATGCCGCAGCTCAAGCAGTGATGAGCGGAGTGCATGATTGCTGCGTTGGCCTCACATACATCTTGGTGAAGCTCTTCATCTTTGTTCCTGCAAGGTATTGCTGGCGGGGTGGAGGTTATGCCCGAGACTTAGCGTAACTTGAATTGATAATGTTACCGTGCTGTTTGACATTTTCTCAACTTGCAGGTCTCAGGTGCCCATTGGAGCATCCATCATTGATGGGCTGAAGGCCATACTAGGAGGGGCTTGTTTTATGCGGATTCACGGTGAGAAGAGGCCGGTCATGGAAATCCCATGAACGATGCCACCATGCAGAAGTATGCAGAGAAGATGAAGGATGGCAACGCTTTGCGCATGAGTTGGGCGCCTCATAAGTAATCTTGTTTCCAGTTTGATTTCTCATTATTCTTTGGTGCAAAGTGATAGTTCTGAGTGGGTAGCGGGTTTCGGCAATCCAGCATAATATCTGCCGGGAAAGATGTGAGCACAATGTCCCGCTCTTGCAACTCCATTCTTTGCGGATCGGATTAGCGGTTCTGGACACTGCATGATCATCCTGCACAGCAGTGCCCACTGGTCAGCAGCTCCTGTGCGCAAGGCCTTTGAACAGTTCAACATGTCCTCGCAGGTGGGGGCCAGCAGGGTGTTTAGTTTGGTCTTTGCCAAGCGGTAGCCAAATAGCCAGTCCGTTGCTTAGCGTTTTGAACGTGCGTTCTGATGCCGAATGCAATCCAGGTATATAAGCAGCAAGTGCACATATTGCATGGATATACCTGAATTGTTTCTAGAAACCTTGAAGAAACAAGTGGCATTGGGGACGGACGAGCACAGCAGGAAGACACATACTTGCAAAGGGCTAAATTGTTGCAGTTTTTGTCAAGCGGATTTGGTGGCACCAATAAGCCTTCCCTTGTGCAAGGGTGTCCATTATGGATAGGGCTTCTGGGTTGCTTCGTGAATTGATTGTGGGTGTAAGGTTTGAAGGGGGGCCTGAAGTCAAAACGCGAAGTTGAGCCGATGTCGAACAACTGTCGAGGCCTTCTCTCAGTTCGGAGGTGCGGAGCTGCTGGCTCAGAAGTATGGAATCACCCGCGAGGACGCTTGGGTGTTGCCAATTCGGCGCGGGCTCGCCAGTACTGTTCAATGATCTTTTTGACTTGATCCTTGCTGTGATCCTTACTTTCGTGCTTATCTCACTTTTGGGTGGCTCATTTTGGTGTGTCTATTTGACTGTCTGCTCGTTTCTTTGCAGCTTTTCAGGCGTTCAAAAAATCGCTGAAGGAGTCCCAGCGTGACACACGGAAGCTGCAGGTAACAGATCAGAAGGGGCGTGTAATGGTGTCGGGTAACGGATCAGCTAATCGGAAGTACACTCAGAATCATGACATTTCTCGGCGCTCATGCTTGGACAACGGTCCACCTATGGGCCGGATGGGAGGCAAAACACTCTCTTCCAAAACGATTGCACAAAAGAAAAAGCAGGCCTTCTGAATTGAGACATGTGCACCATGAGCTTAAAAATACCTGCACACCTTTCTTGGTGACACGTTCTTGTCCTAAAAGATAGAAAGCCAAGCTGAATAATTCCATCCGTTTTTCACCAGCAGCTCCCAATGTGCCTACATCACCATCAAGTTCAGCGCCAAGTCGGACAACTTTGGTCCGGCGAGACAAGGATTTGTCTTCTGACCATGGGATGCCCCAATCACGATAAACCGGCTGCAACATTTTCTGAAATTTGGGTTGTTGCTGTTGCTGTTCCTCTGCTTGGCTGGGTATTGCTTGCTCATCTAACCATTCCAAACAGGTGGAATCGTCGAGGTAAAGATGCCACAACTTGCCAAGGTCGCTTGACATCACATGCGGCAGAGGAGCATCTTGACAAACTTCAGCTGACACTGGCAACACTTCTTCGGGAAAGATGGTGGCTAGGCGTCTGTGAGCATGCTGTGATATTCCGACTGCTGCGAGCCACCCCTTGTGGCAGCCAAAAACACAGACAATGTGTCCTCTGAGCTGTCAAAAAGATCAGAATGCCTCAGTGACTTGTCAAAGGCAAGCAGTAGATGCCGCAAAGTCGGGAGTCTGAAAAGATAAAATGCTGACAGGAGATCATCGCCACCGACTCGCATGATTTGGCCCTTTGGCAAGACTATGTTGATCCATTTCCCTGGTCCAGCTAGGCTGGCAATGTCGCCTATGATCGGAACTTGAATGTAGTTCGACGCCCTCAGATCCATGATGAACCTAAGGACTGGAGATCCTGAAGGAGTAAACTTGCCAGGCTTTGTGACTCCAAAAGCTCCGTTCAGCAAAGGTTTCCCATGCATATAATGAAGCTCAGTCTTTGAGAGGACGCGAGCTGGCCCCTTTTCCAAGAGACAGCGGCCAATCTTGACCCACTCGGCATCGGTGCGCAACACTCGAGCCTTCGGCAGTGCATCAGAATAATCCTTCAAAACCTTCAGTATCACGGCTGGATTCTCAAGGCATCTCCGCGCCTCACCATCGCACAAGCTTGCCAACTCAACACGCGCTGATTGCCCTACCGGCGGCAAGCCGGGGAGTATTTGTTCAAGGGTGAGAAAATGCGCTTTTTCGACGACCTCACCTAAATAGCTGATGCCCATGGTCTGCAGCTTGGAATCCCGGTTTGGAGTTTAATCCCGTGTGTTTTGTTTCAGACGCAACGGAAATGCTGTTTACTCTGCAGCCATTCAGGCTGCAGCGCAGCAATGGAATTTTATTGTTTGCATGCAGCCTATAGATTTGTTGCGCGGATCAGGGGTGGATGCTCTCTGTCCAGAAAACAAGCATCGCCTCCGCAAACTTTGTGCTTCAGGCATTGTGGGTGTGGCGCTTGCTGTGCCTCCCTGCAGTGGATTTTCCCTGGCTCGTCTCAAGCCTGGTGGTCGTCTACTCATCAGGACTCCGGATTTTCCTGCTGGTCTTCTCAGCTTGTCGTTGGCTGCGCAACTGCGGCACCGTCTCGCGTGAGCTGCCTGAGTTTTCTCGTGAGCTCCTTTCATTTGTTGCCGTGCGAGGGGGCATCATTCTCTTCGAGAACCCTTCCTCTAGCCGCTCTAGCCTGACATGGAAGACCAGAGGTGCCGCTGCCTGGATGCGTCAGTTTACGCCTTTATGGTTAGTGTTGCTGCCTGTGCGCATGGTGTAAATGACTTGAAACATTGGCTGTTCTACTCCAATCATCCTTGGATTTTGCCGATTGCTTCTGTTTGTTCTCATGCTGTGGGGACCCGTCTGTATCAGGCAAGCAAGAGGTCTGCTGATGGCACATTCCTCACGCGCTTGACAGCATTGTGCCCGGACTCGCTGGCAGCTGCCATTGCCGACCTTTTTCACACTGGCCTCACTTCAGGTAATCAGGAATCCCCTTTCCCGATTGGCGCCTGTTGCTGCCTGAGCGTCTTTCCTTCTGCGCTCAGCCGCGTAGGGTTGAGGATGGCTGCAGCGCTGCCCACTGGTTTGTTCCGTGTGAAGCTGATTTTTTGGGTGGCCTCAGGCACCTTCGTCTCTGCAAGCCACCGGCCTGTTGCCTCAAATTCTGCAGCGCCTCGGCAGTGCTGACAGGAAGCCGCCTGTCTCTGATTCGCAACTTCAGCCTTTCCTGTCAGGAGTGCGTTCTTGGCTTGGCATCGCTTCTGATCCCGTGTGGGCTCGTTGCTTGGAAGTGCCTGCAGGTCAGCCTTTTCGGCTGCATCTTCTTGCTCTGCCCTGATGCTTCTTTCACTGATCAGCTTTGTGCCGGTGTGCCTCTGGGCGTGCGCTACTCTTGTTCAGTCATGGCGCCAGGACTTCCTCCCGACGCCAATCCTCGACCGTTGGAGCGCTGCGCGTCCTCCTGGAGTCCTGGCAGTTTGCACTTTCTGACTTGCCTACTGTTGACTCTCTCGTGGCGGAAGAAGTCAAGGAAGGCTGGATCCGTGAGGTGCCTGGCAGTGTTGCGGCCCTGCGTAAGCAGTGTCCTCGCTGTGCCGTCGGCAAGCTCGGCCTTGTCCAAGCACCTGGACGTCCTCCACGGCTGGTGGTGGACAGTTCGGTGTCTGCAGTCACTGAAAACACTGTGCTGCCGAATCGGTCTTGCAATCCCACTCTGTCCCACCTTCGGCGCTGTATGCCTGCGGGAGCTTCCTAGGAAGACATGTCTGCCCTTCTTAGATGTCTCTAAGGCGCACAGACGAAATAAGATTCCTCTGAGCACCGAAGACTTCTCTGCTTCCACCATGGAGACAAGCCGGCTTAATCTGCCGCCTGCTTCATCGCATTATCTTTGTCAGCTGTGGACTTCTGATTTATGTTGATGACCTTCTGTGCCTTTTGCGTAAGTGCACTTCTCCTCTGTTAGCGGCCCTTTTGGTTCTGATTTTGTCGGTGCTTCGCGTGCCAATGTCGATCTTGGCGCAAGGCCAGCCTGTTCGCATCCTGTCTGGGTCGGATGACGCGTTGATTTGGTCACGCTCACCGTATCCATGGAATCTTCCAAGCAACATCGTCTGTTGCAGCTGCTGCAGCTTGTTCTGGATTCTCGGCGTGTCTCCAGGCGTGACGTGGAGTGTCTGACAGGCAAGTTGCTGTGACTATCTGGCTTGGTAGCTTTTCTGACCTACTCTCGCGCCGCTGTATTCCTTGCAGCGTGCAGGCCAGCGAAGGTCACGGCCTCTATTGGCCATCCTTCTGTGCCGGCTCTCGGCTCGTTCGCCTGGCTCGGTTGCCTGTTTCCAGCCTTTCTGACGTCCCATCTTGGCTTCCTGAGTCGAGACGCATCTGGATTCAGGTCAGCCATCATCGCGCTGCGTCTGTGCCTCTCTCTGATGAGGTTCGTGAGGTCCTGTCTCTGCGGAAGGACTTTTTGCATCAATCCACTTGAAGACATTCTATTCTGCTAGCTCCAGCTTTCGGCTGTGAGGCTTCTGCCGATGCTTGCGCCGACAGTGTGTCTGCTGGCTTAGGGGCGTTCGTCAAGTTTCCCTGTGCAACCAAGCGTTTCTTTCAGGTTTCTTTTGCTAAGGCTGTCCTGTGCCAGCTCTGCCCCTTCATGTCCTGCGATGATTCTCCTCAGAGCTTCATTGCCGCGTTGGAGATCCTTGCTCAATCCGCGCTTGTCTGGACTATTCAGTCCATGCTTCCCTTGGCGCGTCCTTCGCTGCGTGTTGTCTTATGCTGTGACAACTCTGCTTCTGAGGCCTCTGCCTGGAAGGGGCTCTCAATGGCGAAAGGTTTTGCACGGTGCTTCGTCATTTCTGCGATTTGCAACGCAGATGCTGCATCTCTGCGCGCGTTGGGCGCGTGCCTGGTTTTCTGAACGATGTTGCAGATGGCCTTAGGCGTTCTGAAGACCCTGCGTCTCTGGGTTTCGCTGACTCAGAAAAGGTCGCTCCTCCCTGGAGGGAGTTTCTGGCCCCTTTCATGCTTCAGGTTGCGCCTTTGAAACCTAACCTTGCCTTTCGTTCCTGCTCTTCCTTGAGTGGCTTTTGGGGTGGGTCCCACTGGGTCAAGATCAGTCTCTTTGGACTTTTGCCCACCCCATCTGCCCTGGCTGTGGTGCTCCCCATCCCGGGGTTGAGCGCGCAGTCTGCTCTGTCTTCTGTTCAGTATACCGACCTGAACAGTGGACTTTCTGCCACTCGCGCAAAAAGGAAACCTGTGCAGGGTTCTGGACTAGTCCGAGCAGTAAACGGTTTGGAGTTTAATCCCGCGTGTTTCTGTCCAGACGCAATGGAAATGCTGTTTACTGTACTTCTGTTGCTCTGCTGTGCGATGGGTTGTTGGGTCTGGACTGTTGCCCGCCCCATCTGCTCTGGCTGTGGTGCTCCCGACCCCGGGGTTGAGCGCGCAGTTTGAGCACACAGTCTGCTCTGTCTTCTGTTCAGCCTACAGACCTGAACAGTGGACTTTCTGCCACTCGCGCAAAAAGGAAACCTGTGCAGGGTTCTGTTTGGGAAGTAGGAACGGACTAGTCTGAGCAGTAAACCGTCCAGTGTCTTGCGCCTAAGTACCTGTCCATCTGCATCAAGCGTTGCGAGAAGCTTCTCACTTTGGCGGCGGTCACCCTGGGCGACCAAAGGGGTCCGGGCAGGCCATCGCGTGCAACACATCGCCGCGAAATTGTTCCAAGACATCGCCGTGGATGCCTCAGCGTTACGGCGTAGGGGCCGCCAGCCTCGTGTTACAAGCGCTGGCGAATGCGTCGCCGTCATGGATGACCACTTCCAGCCCCATCCACATGGGCGATGTGTCCGCCTTCCGCTTCGACAACTTCCTGGGCACCGTCATGGCTAACGTCGACCATTCAGAACCAGTGCCCGGACTTCTCCACTAGGCGATCGCAGCCATCCGGTGCCTCTGGACAGACCGGTCACTTGTTCCAGGACATGGTCACCTTGTGCAACAGATCAAACAGGTGCTACAGCCCATACCTATTCATATTCTCATCAAGTAAAGAAGGACATGGACTCCCTTGCCAAACAACTGTTGACGCTGAGGACGGGGGTGTCGTACATAGCCGGCGCCTGTGGTGGGCGTCGCAGTGGATTGGGCCCACGTCACCCGCCCGCGCGCCTTGGTCGTGCCACTGCGTGGACCTAGCGTGACACACCTTGGCGCCGCTGTTGCAGCCCCGTTGCAGCATCTACAGCCGGTGATTGACGCCGCCACGCACGCAGCAACCCCGGTCCTACAGACACAGGGTCTGTTTCACTATACCTCACCGCGCCAGCGCCAAATGAACAAGGACGGCCCCCCTCACAACTCAATGAGCGCCCTGCTGCGCCGTGAAACGCTGCGCTTCTCGCCCCAGGCAGTACCAGTCCAAATATCTGGCCGCAACCGCCGACAGTAACGCCCAGCTCGTGCCCGCTTACATGCCTGAAAAGATGACGGGCATGTCTGGCCAGCGCGCCGCTAACATGAGACCACGCCGAATATCCCCGCAACAAAGCACTTGGTAGCACTTGGCGCGTTCCAAGAGCGGTGTGGTTCATCTTGCTGATCTTCCTCAACACCATGTCACAGCCTGCGGCCGCAGTGACACATAGCCCTATCCAGCGTGCCACGTAGACACTCACCCTTGACACTTGTTACACACCTAAAGCGCTCGACCCTACTTCCGCAATAAAGCTGTGGAAGAAATTTGCAACCTGTTCCTGGATATATGGAGACGCCAGGCTGGACACGGTACCGTCGCACGTTCGGCGCACCTACACCACGGCCAGACACATCACTCAGGTGCATGTGTTCACTGCGCCTGACCCACTACCCCCAAGCAGACATCTTACACCACGAACTTTCACAGGGATTCCAACTCATGGGCAACTTACGACAACCAGAAGTACATCCAGCAGAAACTACACCAGCTCGTGCTGGACGAGATTGCCCACGAAGTCCGCGTGGGCAGGATGAACGGCTCATTCACTCAGCCCGCCACGTGGTCCACTCCTACCATTCGCTCTTGTAGAAATACCTGACTTCTGGAGATCCCACACACATGCCCAGCCGAAGCTCTCGTGTTCAGCATCAAGCAGGTTGGCTCAGATGGGAAAGACAAGATCCGACGCGGCGAGGACTGGTGCCGCAGTGACCATAGTTCGATATGCGTCACGCATGCGTAACCACCCATTCACCAAACCCCCATCATTTCGCATCCCTCGCGATACACACCCACCAATCCTTCCCACAGCATGACATACACCTTTGGGGACACGACCATGACGGTGCATACCGCCGCCTGCCGTTAGACAAGCCACAACAAGGACACGTTTTGCTGCGCGCCCCGGAAGGCCCGAACTTGTGGAGTCACAACGTCCTGCTGTTTGGTTCATCCGTCAGGGTGGGGGGGTTACAGCAGATTCGGTGATGCTATGGTGTCAGTATCACGCATCTTTCTACTCTGCTCCACCATGCGCTACGTGGGCGACTATGGCAGCACCAACATCACACCGCACGCCGATTCGGGCTTAACCACATTCGAGGATTTCAACGGCGCCCCTGGGATACAACATGAAGGCGAGCAAACGCCAGCCACCGGCAGCATCACACAAGATACAGGGCATCATCACATCAACGGAATTCAGCCACCTCGCACTCACGCTTTGCCGACGTGTGCAGCGCATACGCAAGGACATACAGCAGTGCCTACACACCAACCACCTGGAGCCAGAAATACGCCCGGCGGATGGCTGGGAAATGCAATTTCCTCACGGGCAGATTATACGCCACACGAATGCCTGCTACATGCAATCATCTTCCCACCTGGGGATACGTCAAGGGCTTGGTGCTTCCAGGGCAGACTCCCCACGGAAATCCTCAAACAGTTCAGCCCAAACACCGCCTTCATCTATTTGCTGGAAGCGTGGGTGGCCATCATCGCGCGCCTCATTTGTGAGCCCCTCCTCGGCAAGTTCTACGTGCCGTGCTGTGACAATGAAGCTGCCCGCCACGTACTGATAAAAGGAGTAGGCAAACATCAACCCCTGAATTGCGTGATCAGTGCTCATTGGACATGGCACAACAGGACAGGTATCGCACATCAGATTGAACGGGTGCCTACGAAGGCTAAAATATCGGACCCAGTTAGTCGATTCGAGACTTTGCCTCATGGGTTGTTATGGTTCAAGATTGAGATCCCACACGAGGCCATCACCGCTAGATGCTTCAAAATCATTGGGGACATACAGACAGCATCATCTCTATGTTTTGATAAGGTCCTCTTGCCTAGCTAGTGTCCTAGCTACGACGGGAAATCGAGCACCAGCGACGGGAATGTTTTATTTTTCGTCCGTCTCCGGTATAAAAGACGTACCAAGGACACCATAGGTGCACCTTGGACATGCACCGGGAGCACCACAGGTGCATCTTGGACACCAGATTCAAAAGGGGAATTTTTGAATTTTTGCCAGTGCCAGAGACATGGTTGGAAAAAAGGACCGCGTCCGACTTCGTTGTGTTGCAATGGTAATTGGTTTGTTGTTGCATTTGTTGAGCGAATTAAATTGCCAGGGTTCATTTTTTAGGGGTTTAGGGTTTCAGGATTTAGTGCTGTGAGGGGTGTTTAGGGTTCTGAGGCTTGCGGCTTTATGGCCTTTTGGGCTTGGGGCTTTTTAGGCTTTGGGGTGTTGGGGTTCTTGGGCTGGAAGGCTTCGAAAAAAAAATCAGCGAATGCAGCAATTCAGACCGTGCAATTAAAAAGGCTTGTACTGATTGAAGAGGCTGTTCTGTGTGAATGGAAGATCTGCTATTCCGTCCTGTTGAAATTCAAGTCTTACATTTTCAGCTATCTGGCATTGTTTTTGTCAGCACTGCTCTCTCACCTTCGCTCTGTCTCTAGTCTCAAGCCAGTTCCGAAGGATGTGGACAAGTTTGCCGCTGTCTCACAGCAGAGAGCTGTGGCATCTACGCAGGACGGCAGTGAGCAAAACTGCAACAATGTATGTGACATTTTGAGGCAGTTTTGGTGGAGATTAGGATGTGATGGAAAAATGTGAACTGACTGGTGGTTTTCTCATACGAGCCTGTGGTATTTCTCTCGCAGGCAGGCAAGTTCACAGACGAGATCGTTCCTCTGCAAGTCAAGCGTCACTTGCCACAAAGATCAAGCCGGATGGTGCGTTTGTTCAACTTCTTTTTGTATTGGATGGTACCGTAGCGTATCGTATCGTATCATATGGTATGTACTGTATTGTATTGTATTGTTTTGGTATTGCATTGCATTGTATTGCATTGCATTGTATTGATCCACCACTTCGGGGAAGCTCACGCCCGCTTTTGTGCTTGAATGCGCTGTGCATAGTTTGGGAGCAATTTCTGGAATCAGTCATTGCTTTTCTACGGACCTGCTTCTATGCCAAGGCAAAGAGGGCCAATCCGAGGGCATTCACACACAGGCCTCTTGCTTGCTGTGCTTTCCAGCACCTGAATGGACCGTGCATTCCAAGCAGGATGAGGGCATCAGGGAAGGCGTGACAGTGGAGAGCGTGGGCAAGCTGAAGGCCTGTTTCGCCACAGGTGTGACCAAGATGCACATCACTTGAGTGGAAATCGCAGGCGATGTTTCCGAATGGCGTCCTTACACCTGCTTCTTCATCGCAGATTTGTCATAACCTCGGGTCTTGAGTGAGTGCATGCTTGGTAGGACATGTGGACTCTGTCGGTCTGCGCTGAGGTGATGGTGCTGCTGCTGTGCTGATTTGCAATGAGCCTGCATCTCATGGTCAGTCACGGTAGAACGATTTCAGCAAGCTCGGTGGTTGTCGCACACTGCGGCATTCAAATCCGCACTGTAGAGTCAAACGCTTTCTCATTACATGCGGCATGGGTTTTTGGGAAAGCGCTTTGTGGCAAATACACAGCAAGAACAGGAAACATGTGAGACTAAGACTCTCTGACCATTCAAGGATGCTAGACGCGGATTAAACATGTGAGATGAAAGCATGACAGACTCACTTTACTAGCAGTCCTATCTATACACGCACTTTCTCTAGCACCCGCAGGTGTACGTGTTCGCCCGTAAGTCGTCTCTCAATGTAAGCAATTTTCAATGCAAGCACAACAAGTATAAGGAACCAACCCCAGAAGTGAAACCTGCGCCGATTCTTCGTGCTTCCTCTGCCCCGAAGCTTGCGGAAGTGGGGGTGGGTTTGCTTCGCGATCCCGAGAGACTGCACAATCAAGATCAAGATGAGACAGTCTTGGCTATCCATAGCTCCGGCACAACCGTGGTACGAAAATTCAAGTTGTGCCGCGGTGCTGATGAGTGAGAGTACGGAGTATGCCAGGAGTGAACCACTGGATTTCCGCATCATTCTCAACCGGCCTGATTTTCTCAATTGCCACACATGGTTTCAGAACATCTTGTGTTTGCCGTTACGTGAGCCATGCAAAGTTCCACCCTGAGGCGTGGTTTGGCGAAGCTGGGCGTGCAGCCAATTGCAAGGAGCGTGGCATAGCATTCGGTTGGATGACAGCGCAGCATCCTGCCACCATATCCATTCCTTGCAATTGCACAGGATACACTCGCTGGCACTTGCAGCGGTCTTATGCGCTACCATCCTGATAAACGCCTACGCTTGGCTTGAATGTGAGGACTTTAGTGTGTGTTTGCTGAGGCTGCAGCCGATCCCGTGATAATGTTGGAAGCGTGTGGCACCTGTGAACAACAACAGCTCAGACGGCGAAGTGGCAATTGCCGAGGCCAATTCCCGCCTCGCAGAAGGCTTTGCAGAAGGCACATGGCAATGAAAGAACGCCTTGCTTGAACCGCGGCTGTGGCATCCTGCAATGTATAGTATGCCGTCTATGATGTTGCAAGCCCTTCCATGCTCCTCCTCCGGGCATTGCTGATCCATTTGTTCATCATGCTCCTTCCATGAGGTCTGTGGCCCCGAATAGCAGCGCGGTTTACAACAAAAGAGCTGCTAGCAGGTAGATCAGAAGCACGCCCGGGTTGTACCAATCCCAAGGCAGTGAGTCTAGCTCCGCGTTCAGACATTGCATAATGCTATGCCGTCCGACCAAAGCATTCAGATGAACGTTCCGAATCGAAGAAGTATGAGGAAGTCCTGGCGAGGGGAAAGCACATACGTGTCGAAACAGCTGCGATGCGCAGTAACCACTTGAACTGGCTGGGTTCGAACAAGCTTCAAGAATCATTCGCAGAGAGACAAAGAGCCTGTTCGACAGATGCGGACTGGTCACGGGTGCATGCATGAAGGCCAACATGACGATCAAGGACGTGGACATCTACGAGGCCACCACTGCCTGAACCTGGACATTTGCATTTTCTCATAGTCTGCCTCAACCGTCTGCCTCTTTGGGCTAAGGGTTACTTGAGGGCTTTCCGCAGGTTGTAAGGTGCGGGACATACGGCATGGCAGAGCTCTGCAGAGCTGGGGCAGAGTGAGTCTCCCTGGGGCGGTACGAGCCGTGATGTAGAATCGTGGAAGTCGAAGGCCTCTGTGTCTTCGGCCTTGGTGTTGCAACGGAATGCAACGGAAAACTGGCAGACTAAGAAGTGCTTGTTAGATCCTTATCTGATATGTCAGCACAGGTGAGCAGCAGTTTCAGTCCACCGCAGCCTGTTCGTACACAAGTCAACTCGAAAGGTGTCTTGTTGTTTGGGCGTTGACACCCTACAGGCATGATGAGGTGTACGAATAAGGCCATTGTGATTTATGCTGCTGTGTCACGTTCAGGTCAACGAAGCGTTTGCATCCGTCCCTTTGGCATGGTGCAAGGCAAGGCTTGATTCGTTCCAGCTGAGTTCAGCCGGCATGTACCTAACAAGCCAGTGACACTGGGCTGGCAACTACAGGCAATGGGTGCGGACTTTCAGAAACTAAATGCCCTGACCTCAGAGATTTTGCCGTATGTGTTAGTTCTGCCGCATTGAAGAACACATTTTTGTCGAGTAATGTGCCAGGCTAGGACTCGGAATGCATTGGGCATGAGAGGTGAACGGAGGAGCCATGGCCCTTGGTCATCCGCTCGGAGGCACTTCATGCGCAGACGCAGATCATCTACTCAAGCCTCTTACAGCTTAAGCGGGTCTGCGACCAGTGAATGCCTTTCCAACATGCTGCAGCAAATTTTGCTTCCAAGTTTTTGGCGCAGGAGCCATGACTTCTGTGTAATCAGTAATCGCCTTGCTGCAGGGACAGGTGCCAAGCTCATGACCACCCTAGTGCACGAGCTGCGAAGACGGAAGGCCAAAGCGCTGGCTCTCTTCACCCTCAGAAAGTACCAGTAGCAACTCAGCTTGCCACCTGGCACAGGGTCGATTCGGCTTGCTCGCCATTTGCGAAGGAGGCGGAACAGCTAATGCAACTATTGCCTGGGTCCCAGCACATTTTCAGTTCATGTTTGAAGTGCCGCTGTCAACAGCGTTGACCGCTAAGATCGAGCTCATGCCAACATCGAAGCTTTAGGCTCTCCAAGTCAAGCACAGGCAGACGTGCTTAGTAGCAATCACGATTGCCTCATGTTGTTTGTTTGGATGCGAATTTTGTCATCACAACTCTTCACGATGCTGTTTTCGTACGCGGGTCCATCCTCGCTGATCAAAGACTGCTGTCCACGTAGAGTGCACAAGAACGTTTGATTTTCTTGTTGCACCCGTGACAGTTTGGGCTTGTTTATTTCCACTCTGATTGGGAGTTTGGGAATTTGAGTAGAGAAGGGACCGCACCCCTTGCAATATTTAGATTGGATGTTGCGAGGGCGGAAAAAGAAATGATGTACGGCACAAATACTTAAAATGACGCCACAAGATATTGGAAGATGTTACTCCTCTCAGATTTTTAAAATAAGAGGGAAACTAAATCTATTTCATTCTACGGAAATGAACTCTATTCTGCGGATAACCAATTGACAACGTATTCTCTAGTATACTAGATATATCTTAGAGAGGTACCGATGAATCCCTCAACAAAGCGGCGCAGCCGCTGATAGCCAAGTTGATCGTGCGCGGCCTAACTTTCTAGCTCTCTATTAAAATGGCTCTTGTAGGCTCCCTACAGGCATCTAAAATTCTCGATTTCTTACGGCCGTTCGTAGAGATTCTAAAACATTTGAAAGAAATGATTTGTGCAACTATTTCTGCACTAACTACTGCCATAGAAGGACGTCTATCAGGGAATGACAAGCAATTACGCATAACGATAATACGCAAGACGATTATTAATAAAAATATTGGTCCGCTGATTTATGGCGTAATTCGAATTAATATTACGATTTATTGGATTATGATTTGGCGCGACTAGATAAAAATTCATTTGATTATTTATATGACTCTATATTACGCCGCGGCTATTTATGATTATTTCGTTCGCATACGATCTTGATTTTCCGGCTCATTTTAAAGATAATTGCTATTACTTCTTTAAGGATTCAAAAGATTCGGAGATTTTAGGGCTTTTCGGAAAAATTAGAGATTCTGAATCTCCAAGATTTTTGGTACGAATGGCACGAGCGGCGCGATTAAAAATCTCGGAGATTTTTGGTCGTGCGGTCTTTGTTTCCGGAGTGGTTTTCTATATGATTTATTTCTTTTTGGTTGTTATTGTAGCAGAAATAATATTTTCCGCGGCTATAGGCAACGAGGTCAATTTAGACTTTCAATTATACGATGCGATTATTAATAACTATTTTATTTCCGCATAGTTTTTTTTTTTTTTCTGATTCGCTTCGAAAATTTCTCCTATAGGCTCACTAGAGATTCTAGATTTTGGAGATTTTATATCTTTTCGGAAAGGCTAAAGGCTCAAAAATATTCGATATTTTTAGAATGGACGGCACGACTAAAGGTCTCGAAGATTTTTGGCCATATAATTCTTGCTTCTGACATAATTTATTACGTGATATATCTCTTTTTGGTATTGCACGGTTGCTCGCGGAGCGTATAGGATCGAGGTGGAGGATTAAAATTTTCTAGAATTTATAGCATGGTCGTATATATCTATACGGATTTATTTGTTCAATCTAGTCGAGAAGCAGATTGGATGATGGGGCCGCACGAGCCGAAATCTCTCGGAATTTCGCATCATTTCTTTCTCTTTGATCATCTACGCGGCGGCTCATGGGAATATATAAATCTAGGGCAGAAATCAAGATCTTTAGATTTTTGGAGGTAACATACGATCTTATATGCTGATTATTCGTCGGTCTTTATATGCGAATCTATATTATTCATTATTCATCGGATCTCTTTTTATATTAATAATATTCCGCGGTCGTTTGCGGTCATTTCGCTCGCGCAAACTAGCTTTTGCGGCTTATTTCTAAAATATTTCTTATGGGATGCCTAGGATTTTTTTTATCTCGGAGATTTTTTAAAGAAATTCTATTTGGATAATCCTTATTTGCAACGTGATTTATTTCTTTTTGGCAATCTTCGCATCTGCTCGATAGAATTCATCGATCCGAGGGAGAGAATCAATAGCCTTCAGAATTTATAGATTGACCGTATTTATCTACGCGAATTTACGCGCTCCCCCGAATCGCCGCGCAGATAGCCTAAGAGAGATAAATCAGGCAGAAAGATCGGATTGGATATTGGGGTCGCGCTCGAGATTTGGCATCATTTTCTGTGGCGGCTCGGCGGAACGTATAGGCGCGAATTTCTATATAGATTATTCGTCGGATTTCTTATACGAGCTTATATGATCATTATTCATCTGAATTCTTTTTATATTACTAGCACGGCGCGGCCACTTGCGATCATTTCGCTCGCGTTGCCTAGCTTTTCCGGCTCATCTCTAAATTGCCCCTTGCGGGATGCCTAGGAGCTCTAATATTTCGGAAATTTTTTTTGGAGGCTCTAAAGTCTTTCGAGATTTTTCGTGCAGGGCGGCGCGAGCAAAAATCTCGGAGATTTAGATAAGCCTTGCTTGCGGAACGATCTTCCGCGTGATTTATTTCTCTTTGACAATCTGCGCGACTACTTGATAGGACATATAAATCCAAGATGGAGAATTAATATCTTTCAGAATTTATAGATTATTCATATCTATCTACGCAGATCTATTTCTAATCTCGAGCCATCGCGCAGATAATCCAAGAGAGATCAATGAGGCGGAAAGACCGGGCTGGATGTTGGGGCCACACGACCCGAAATCTCTCGAGATTTCGAATCCTTTATCTCTCTTTGGCTATCTGCGCGGCGGCTCGTAGGATCATATAGATCCGGGACAGAGATCTAAATCTTTAGATTGATTATTCTTATTGCGCATAATCTTATATATATATATATATTTTTTTTTTTCGGATTTCTTATTAGAGATATTCTCAATCAATTATTTTCGTTATAGGAATTCTCAATCAGTGATTTTCTATTGCTGTAGGCAGCGGGTCAATTCTAAATTTCATTAAATTTGAGAATTATTTCTCATCATCGAATTAATGCTTGATATTTGATCATAATTCAAGAGCTTGGAAAAGAAGATTCGTCGACCTATTGATTTAATGATTATATGAAATCTCTAAAATATATATTTGATGATATCTATATATCATTTGGATTTGATGATTCATTTTTCGTCATATTTTTTGATTTATATTCTCTCATATCATATCTAATATGAAATGACGGAATAATAATATTTATCGAATATAGAGATGAGGAAATTAAGCGATTAGGTTTTGATATCATTTTTCAATATTATAAGAGAATATATATATATATTATATTAATAGAAGGAATATTTGCTATAGATTATGAAAATTTATGAATATAAATTATAGAATAAAAGGAGATAAATTAATTTGAATTTGAGATATCTAGCTCAAATTCTAATTATATATTCATTCGGAAAATCGTTAGGAAATAAATATTCTTAATTGGAGATTTATAAATATAAAATAGAGAATAATCCGTATAAATATGAAGAAATCTTCTTAATTTCTTTATTTCTAGATATTTGAAAATATTTAATATGAATATAAGAGATTATAGAATCTTTCATGAAATGATCTTTAGATCATCTAGAATATATTGATTCTAACGAATTCTATATCTAATTTCAGAATTCTTCTGAGGATTTATTGATCAATTCATATATATAATTGATATATTTCAAGATTAGATTTTGATAGTCGAGATCTGATAATATATTCCAATTATAGATAAGGCAAAATCATCTATAATTCCCGAGAAGGGTCATGGCGTGATAGAAGAAACTTAGATTCTTTTATATAATAGAAGGGAAAAAGAAAAAAAGATAATTTATAGATCCGATCTCAGAGCTTCTACGGAATCAGAGAATAAGAGATATGGATACGAAGATGAAGATGAGGAAATCAAAATATTCGTTATCTAATTTGGAGAAAAAGATATAGAGATAGGGAATATAGATCCAAAATTATTGAATGAATTGAATCTACGAAGAGGATTCGATATGATTTTTTGAGAATTTTTCTTCAAATAATAAGATGAATTATGATATACTGACGAAAGATATTCGAGATCAATATTATGATGATCAGATCAGAATCTATTAAATCGGATCAAGACGACGTTCCATTGGAATTCAGAGAGGAATTATAGAAAATTATTTTTTTCATTCGTAGATAATCTTATCCAATATGAAGAAATTCTACGAATTTTACGATCATGCTCAGAACCAGAGGATAAAGAATTCGTCAGAATATAATATATTATAGATCGAATATCAATCCAATTCGTTATCCCGGAAAAATATCGATATAAGAAGACGATTCTTCTTCAAAAATTGCGATCCAGAAAGAATAAATTATTAATAAATATGAATATGGGATATTATCTATTTCAGATTTCTCTAGATTGGGAAATGATATCCGGAATTCCCATCTATCTGATTTCTATAATCAATCCTATGAAAAAAATAGAATGAATTTCTTATAGAATTCCAAGCTGATAATTTCAAGCTACAAATAGATACGATATAAATATTGGAGAGATATTAAATATTATGGCCATCGGATCAAATTTGAGATCGATATCCCAATTGAAGAAAGATTTATATATCAATCCTTCTATATATTAGATTGTCCCCATCCGAATTTGGAGATATTCAGATGCGGAGAAAAATATAGATATCATAAATCATAATCTATTCGCGCAGATGACATATATATTTGATCAGAGATTTAATCATCATTATTCCTATATATTATTCATCTACGAAATTGGATATGAATAGAAAATTGCTCAATTCCATATCAAATTCATTGGGAGAATGAAGAAGATTATGATTGCGATCCAAATCTTGAAATGAATAGAATTCAATCGTTATATTTCTTCTAGACCTGTATTCGATAGAATCTATGATATTCCAAATACGACGAATATTATTACATCATTTTCATAATCAATCTTATCAAATCGGATATCAAATGAATTGGTCGCATTCTTAGAATCTCGTCTTATGCTCTCATTCTTGGAGATTGGAGA